TGCTTCCTACAGTTAAATGGCTTCTGGGACATTGTGTCCTCTACTGAATCATAAAGGTGAATCATCCCATTTCCTATGATTTAAAGTCAAATTTAAATTTGTATCTTCAGTAATTTCAAGAAGGTTCTTCACACAGTATGTCAGCATATTGCAGTGTTTTCCTTTTCCTTGAGAGATAACATTAGTTATCGTCAAGAATGTGCTTTATTAATTCTATGCTGTGACTAAGAGCTATATCCACAATATATTAATGACCCATTAATATATTGCTCAGATGTTTAAAATTACTCAGCCTAATGTTACATGCCTTTCTGCACACCTGAGTTAATACATACCCCGGAGTGCTTTCTTGCTTAGTTACAGCACTCTCTACTAAGGAAAACTGGGACTTGATTGCATCCATATATTAATCACAGTGTATGTTTACATAATATGACTTCACTTAATAGCGTAATGATGAAGAAGCTGGATGTACATAACTGTCTGGCTGAATGCCTGACTTAGGAAAAAAGGAAGGCTTTCTACAAACATCTTTAGATCTCCACAGAGGGCCAAAGAAATCACAGAAATGCTGGAAATATTTTTTTAAGATTGTACAATCTATCTTTCTCCATAATATATGGGAATGCCTTACTGGATCATATCTCAGAGAGTGGTTTTTGTTAATCTCCTAAGTAGCAAATAATTTCTGCCTTTAATGAATCACATTAGAAGGTGAAGTGCTTAGTGGCAGGAACTCATATAAAAGCACAATTAATCAACCTGAAGTTTTTGGCTCCAGTAGGCAGCTCCTGTATGGTACTTCAGAGGGCTTCTTCCCTCCATTTAAGCTTTCTTTTGTTCTCTGTCTGCAGGACTTCACAACGATTCAACTATTATTTTTTTATCATCCTGCATTTATTTATTTATAATTTCTGCCAGGGATATGCCCTCTTGTTATTCAGATAACAAATGGTGTTTAGTGCTTCTGAAGAAATTTGCAGCTGAATTACCGTCACTCAGTCAAGAATGACTTCAGCTATATTTCAGGGTGGTTTTTTTGCATATCTACAATTTTCATTTTCTTACTGGGATAAGGAAGTAGGATCATTTACACAGAATTCAGTTGTGAGATGCACAAGCATATTGTGATAGATGGAAAAATATTTTTAAGTGCAAAACTTCAGAAACTGTTACAGTGGATGGACCAGACCTGGAAAAATAAAAAAGAACTGATCTGCCAGTGTTGTATTTTTGAGATCCAGGTAGATATTGGTATGACTAACACAAAGCTTGAGACATGAAACAAGACTAGAGAAATCTCACTTTTCCTTTAATATTATTGCATCTCCTGGGTGACACTATTTGAGAAAGAGCTACGAGAAAGATTAAAATGAGAAAACGCCATCCTTATACAGAAATATCTGGTCTTTTCTGGTGCAAGAGCTGTTTTCAACTCATACCCCACATAGCTGATGAGCAATGTTCAGTAAACCAGTAAACCAGTATATACATAGATTGTTTTATTGCTCTGTGTAGTGGTGTAAAATAAGGGTTCCTGAAAAACTTCCAGTGAAGCATAGAATATTACTAAGGATAAATAAATCAATCAGTTGCATCTCTAAGCTTCAAGAGAAAATGACTTCTAAAGGTGACAGCTGTTTGGGGGAGTGCCCTGGAGGAAACAACTAAAGTTAAAATCGACTCTGAGACTAAGACATGTACACATCAACAAAACATGAAGTGAGATAGGAAGGCTCGGTGAACAACAAAGTAGTCGGGTGGTGTATATTTTTAATGTAGCCTATGCCTCTTGGATTTGGCAGGCAGAGTGTTGTTCTGTAGAGCAATAGCAGCTGATTCACACTAAACCACGAGACCACTGGAGTACAGGCAAGCCAGTTTCACCAGGGCTTTGCCCATTTTGCCTCTCTTGGCACTGTTAACCAACACAAACTGCTACCCATGCCATTCTTTTGGCCCTGCTTGAAAGATGAGAGATACTCAGCACAGACAATCTGCCTTGATGCTGACTTCACTTTAAATTTAGCTTTTTCTTGCCTGTTTCAGGGAAAATATCTAAACCCCTATGATCTATTACCTTTAAAATGCTTAGTGATAACAAAACGTTCCTGTCTTGAGGCAGTTTCATTGATCATGCCTTCAAATGTACTGGGAGCTAAGCTAGCCAGATTTGCTGCAGACAGTCCAAGAAACAGGGCTCAATGTTCTGACAATCACATACACGTTTGTGCCTTGGAATAATTGCTTTTGAGAGAACCCTACAGTTGAATCAAGATGTAGCATCTCAGTAGAAGCAAGCTTTCTCTTTGAATTACAACTGGATAATATAAATGTTCAGATATTTGGTAAGGGAAAAAAAGTGAAAAAAAAAAAAGCAAGTATGTGGACTGATGTATTACTTTGGTTTGATATTTTTTTACCTTTCCCAAAATGCACCGTAAGCATAGATATTTTAGACACAGATGAGTTTAAACACTTCCTACGATTCCTTCAAGGTAACAGATGTGAAAACTTCCAACTTTTACTAGGGTTAAACTTCCTTCTTATGAAGGGTTTTATGTGGATGTCCTTGGGTGAGGGGGTAAAGAAACAAAAAATCTGCAACCTGCACATGAAGTAAGCATGCTGTACAGCCTCTTGGTGACAGTAATTACATCTTTGAACTACTTAGAGCTTCCCAGTCCCATGTTCTACAAAAACATCAACCGAGTAATTTATTCACAGCCATTGTCTTACACTTGCATGTGGCTCCTTTCTTCCAGAGGGGGAGAATATAGTGGACTACCCAGACAGAAGAGAAGCAACAGAGAACTTTGTTCTTAGGAAATCAGAGGGAAGATGCTCTTACGGTTCGAACACAGGAATGTGTGGAAGAAATCTTGCTATCTGTTGGCAGCTCCACTGCTGTGGGTGTGGGTGAATTTTTTAAAGGCAGGTGACTAATGTATGAATTGTTTCGGAATGAATACTGAGGTTTTCCAAGCTCTGCAACAAATGAACCCTTCATGGTGCAATACTTCCTCTCTGACAGTCACTTTGCTTTGAGTAAGTCTCATGGCAAATTTCCATTCACTACTGGATAAAGCATAGATTTTAAATTAGGTTACTGATGTAAACATTACTGCAAATTTTTAAATGTGCTATAAAGATTTATGGGAAAAGTGAAATCTCTATTTTGCTGTATAGTGTATTATACAGTATGTAACACATAAAAGATCTCTTGGTATTCATATTTCTACAAACATTACTAAAATTCTCTACCAATTTTCTGCCTTTTCTTCCTTTTTATTTTTGTTGCTTTAACATGTAAATTTTACTGTTTGTTGCTATTTACTTTATAGTCTAGTCTGTACATGAGAGAAATATTTATTTTTCCATAGTTGCCCACAGTTTTCTCCTAACAACAGAATATATATATATATATATACCTCCAAAACCTGGTATTTGGATGTTGGTTACTAGAATACCATTCATATTTCATTTTTCTAATGGGTGCATCTATGTTAGCTAGATCTGTCTTAATTTTACTTCACTGGCCAATTCTACTTAATGCCAGAGTGTCCTCTGCTGTACGTAGCAAAAATAGCAGTATGTTACAGGTTCTTTCATTCATGACGATCAAAAGACACTGTATAAGTGACTCTGTAGGGACATGTTCAGCTTCTCACTTAAATTTCCCTGTCAAAAGCATTTTTGCAGAATCCTTTCTAGTTCCCCCCAAATCACTTATGCTACAGATGATTTTGTAAACAGAATTCACATTAAGACCTCCTAACACTCCCACCTTGCCCTCATCAAAGATTTATGTTTAAAGGGAAGGTTTCACTAAGAACAAATATTAGGAAAAGTGCCTAAAACCAGTCCTCTGGCACACCTTCTCTGAATGTCAGACATGAAATAGAGAGAAAACTTTATACATTTTTAAAAAATAAAGGCTGGGAGGAATGGCTGATACCCTAGGATGCTCTGCACTGCTTCAGAAGGACCTCAACAGGCTGGAGAGGTGGGCAGAAAGGAAACTCCTGAAATTCAACAAAGGCAAGTGCAGGGTCCTGCACCTGGGGAAGAATAACCCCAGGCAGTACAGGCTGGGGGCTGACCTATTGGAAAGCAGCTCTGCAGAGAGCTCTGGGGGTCCTGGTGTCTATGAGCCAGCTGTGTGCTCTGGGGGCCAAGAAGGCCAGTGGTATCCTGGGGTGCATCAGCAAGAGCATTGCCAGCAGGTCGAGGGAGGGGATCCTGCCCCTCTACTCAGCCCTGGTGAGGCCACATCTGGAGTGCTGTGTCCAATTCTGGGCTCCTCAGGGCAACAGAGATATGGAGCTCCTGGAGCAGGTCCAGTGAAGGGCTATGAAGATGATTAAGGGACTGGAGCGCCTCCCTTATGAGGAAAGGCTGAGGGAGCTTTGCGTGTTCAGCATTGAAAAGAGACAACTGAGAGAGGACCTCATCAATGCCTGTAAGTATCTGCAGGGAGGGTGTCAAAAGGATACAGCCAGGCTCTTCTTGGTGGTGCCAAGCGATAGGACAAAAGGGGAAGAAACTGATTCACACGAAGTTCCACTTGAATATGAGGAAGAACTTTGCTGTGAGGGTGACTGAACATTGGAACAGGCTGCCCGGAGAGGCTGTGGAGTCTCCCTCTCTGGAAACATTCCAAATCCACTAGGACGCGTTTCTGCGTCACCTGCTCTGGGTGACCCTGCCTTAGCAGGGGGGTTGGCCTAGATGATCTCCAGAGGTCCCTTCCAACCCTAACCATCTTGTAATTCTTAACCTGCTCTGTGAAAGAAACCGGCAGGCCTGTATTGCCTTGAGGGGGGCTTATTTGCATGTGCGTCTTTATGTTGTTTCCCAGGGCACAGTACGGATGGATCCACTGTGGATGAGATTGGATCCCATCGCGTCCCGTCCCGTCCCGTCCCAACCTCGGCCGTCCCCCCCAGCACTGCCCTCGTGCTCGGGCTCGGCGGAAGTGAGGGCGGGGGGCGGGGCTGCGCGGCTCCCCGCGGGTCTGGGCCGCCGCCATTTTGTTGGCGCCCGGCGCTGCCGGCGGGACGGAAAGGGCCGGGAATTGCCTGGCGGCTCCTCCCCCGCCGGGCCCGAGAGGCGGGGACTGAGCGAGGCCCTGCCGGGACGGGACGGGGTGGCGGGGCCCAGCGCGGCGCAGCGATGTCGGCGTTCTCGGAGGCGGCGCTGGAGCGGAAGCTGTCGGAGCTGAGCAACTCGCAGCAGAGTGTGCAGACCCTGAGCCTGTGGCTCATCCACCACCGCAAGCACTCGGCGCTCATCGTCAGCGTGTGGGAGCGGGAGCTGCGCAAAGGTGAGGCCGGGGCCGAGTGGGCCTCGCCGGGGTTCCCCGGGGGCGGCGGATCCGGGGCAGGAGGAGGAGGCGAAAGTGGCCGCCCCCCCTGCGGTGTGTGCGGCGGCGGAAGCAGAGGGATGGCGGCGGGGATGCCCCGCCTGTGGATAGCAGGGAGAGGGGGAGGGTGGGCCCCAGCGCCTGGGGAAGAGTGGAGCTACTGAGGCCGGGGTTCAGCCCCAGGTCTCGGTTTTTTGATGACCGTGGGCTGGGAGGTGTTTCTCCTCCCTCTTTTTCTCTCTACTCCCCTCTCTCTTGTCTTTTCCCTCCCATTATCCCTTCCTCCCTCAGCGAGTTGCCTCTGAGGAGGCTGCCCGTCGTGTTTTGCCTCCCTTTTTTTCTTGTGAAAGGAGATAGGAAGGTGGGAAACGGGAGGGACGGGGTTTGGGGGATTTTGTTATTAATACAGGTAATTACAGCTCTTCCAAGGCGGAGCCTTTTAGGTAGTTTCTTTCATCATCTCTGATGATGGTGGTTAGCTGTAATACTCTTTGAATTTCTTGTTCACTCATGCCAGAAACTGTTCTTGTAGGGCAGCTGAGGAGGGGAATACTCTGAAGGAAGAGCAATTTAATGTGTCCAAAGTGGTTTTTACTTCCTGTTTTTGCCAGATGCCTACTACCAGTGTTAGAATAATAATAAAAATGTATATTTCTTTAGCTATGTTAAGTGTGCAGACTTAAATGCTTATGTGGCTTTCTTTTTAACAGGAAGGAACTTGCAGCTATAGATAGTGGTTCAGGGACTGAAAGGGAGAAATGGCATGTGAAGATTTATTTGATGTGACTGGAAAATAACTTGATCTTAAATTTTTTAATTCATTTAAGAAATTAAAACTCACTTGATAGAACTCTGCTTTGCTCTAGGAAATGTTGCTGTCTTCCAATAGCTTCCTTTGGAGCCTCGCTATTATGTGGATCTTTAATGGGAAAAGTAGAAGACTAGGCTTTCAAGTGGAGAGGAAAAATAGCACTAAGCCATGACAGGACTTATGAAAGAGGAACCACTGAGTTGCACGTAACGTGGCTACTGTGTTGGGTTTTTTTAAATACTCTTTTTGTGAGAAATGTGATCTTTTGAACTTTCAGGCAAGAGTTGAATTCTTTTTTACCATTGCCCTAAGAAAGGCTTACTTGACATATTTTATCTTATGAAATAAACACATTTTCAGTATACGTTAGTTGCAAACTTGCTTTCTTGTTCCTGGAACAAAATAATGGATCTCCCATCTGTGTGTGAAACATTTCACTTTTCTGGGCCTTCTAATCAAACACCTTGAATGTTTGAGGTGGTGTATGATACTAGAAAGGCATCTTAAACTAATTGAAATAGAGTCAGAGTTTTGGTTGCTCATCTTAATTAATGTGCACAATACTAGTACGTAATAATGCAAGATGTTAATGGTCAGTCCTTAACCTTAATTTTTCTGTTGTGCTGTTTGACTAATTGGAGAAATGAAGTCTTTGAAACATGGTCTATGTGTCTGAAGGTGGCATTGAGAGGCAAGGATAACCATCTTCTTAAGAAGTCAGAGGAATGTGTTGCTTTTTCTCAGCTTTCAGTGTCTGACTTCCCCTTCTAAGCCTGTTTTGAGCTTTGGATGAGTGTAGCTGCCATAATTGGTTTTGTCTTGAGTTTGTTGAAGCTGTTGTCCAGCTTTTGAAGCTGGCATGGTTAATATACACAGGATGTATTTTAGTTTTTCATCTCTGATAACAGTACCTGAGTTTCAAAAATATTAGCTTGCATTCACCCAATATTAACTTTTTGCTAATTGCATCACAGAATTGCAATATAGTCCCTAATCCCCACAGGGTGGGTGTAGTGATCTAAGTGAACAGCATGTGGAGGATGGGAAGGAAAACCAGCATACTGTGGTGAAATGAGGTGCATAAACACCACAAAGCAGAATGCTAGCAATGAGGCTGTAAACAGAGTAAGTTTAAGGCTCCTGACTTGCCTCCCATCCAAGCTGTATAAACATTATGCCTCTCCTACCTGAGAGGAAAATTACCTCTATTTGGAGAATACGGACACAAAGATTACTGGCATTGTCAGCTGCTATTGCTAGCCAGCAGTGTACTGGAACTAAAAATTGAACCTTGCCTTTCTAAATTTTATTTCCTTTCATTGTATATCTATTGTCACCCCCCTCTCCAGACCTTCCTTCCAGCTTACTCCCTTTCGGGCTTATAGAACGTGGTATAACTAACTAGGTTGAACACAATATAGTGCGATGTTACATTTTTTCTGGATGCTTTCAGTTTTGGTAAAACATCACTTGCGTCAGATGAGCTTGCATGAGCCTTTCTGAACGTGTCTCTAGTGATTCATGAAAAGGACTGCTAGGATCGGAGCTCTTTTGTTCCTAAATGTTTGGTTCTGATTCTTTTTAAAATAGTCATTGTCTATATACCATATTGGAGTAGAGGCGAAGAGGCAGCTTTTCAAATGCGCACATAATTTACACAACATAAAGTCTTAGTACCCTTCTGTTTACTTGGATTAATTGATACTAGTCAGGTCTCATATTCTGACATATCTAGAGATCATCGGTTCCATACACCTTCATGTACAGGTTTTCTTGAAAAGTTTATACTGAGGAAAATGATCCTGCTTTGGCTAGATTTCAGATGTATGTGAAATGTAACACTTGAAGTTAAATAGTTAATTATTTGGTAGTCATAAGCTTTTTCAGTAGTTAAGTAGTTAAGTAGTACTAATTAATTAACTTGTAATGTGAATACATCAGTCATTCCCAAAATGCAACTGGCGGGCCCATTTAAGCTATGTAATTTTGTGTATCCATAAAGGGAATTACTTGCTGGATGTTTTTTTTTTAAACTGAGTAGTGGTATAATACATAAAAATTTGTTGTGTAAACCTGCAGTAAGTAAGTGGCTGCTGGGAATACCCCTAGGAACACCTTTGAATAGGCTTTTCTGAGATGGAGTCTGTTGCAAATCAGGTATGTTCTCTTGCATGCATCTCTTGCTGCCTGGTTTCAGGATTCTCTGAAACGGTAGGGATTTTTTACCTGTTTGTATGTTTTGTTTTGAAATGAAAAATTTCAGTTCCATAATTCAAAGCATCAGCTTTCAAGGGTGAACAATAAGTGCTTGTTCAGGAGGCTCAGTGTGCAATTTGCAGTACTGGGTTAAAATGAATTCTTTTTCAAAGAAAAACAAACCCAAAACTTGCTAAAAGTTTGTTATATAGGAGTTGTTATTTTAAGCTCCAGTTAGTAGTTCGTAATAATCTTTTCCTGTCCTCTCATTTTCTGTTAGCTTTTCCAGGTCCAACTCTGTCACTTGTTAGGTATTTATGTCCTAATGATATTTTAATAATCACAGAATATTCTGAGTTGGATGGGACCCACAAGGATCATCAAGTCCAGCTCTTGGCTCTGCACAAGACATTGTCGTGTTGTATCTTTAAAACTAATTTCAGATTCAAGTATCTGTTTCCTCAGAACCTGACATGGCATCTCATTGATTAGTCAGCCTCAGAAACTGATGCTGATCATCCCCCACCCCCCTTAATCACTTGCCCTCTTGTTTTGGCTGTCATCTGTCACCCCACCCGTGTCACACTGATCACTCTTCCCTGCACAGCTTATCTGGGTTAGCAGCTGTAAGACAGCCACAATTGTGTGAGTGCATCTGGGCTGCTACAGAGGGATGGATGTATATTTTAGTGCTCGACTCTGACAGTTTACCTGCTGTTCTAGTTAATATGCCTTTTATTTATTTTTTTTGTTTCGTGGTGTTGAAGTCATTCAGTGTTATGAGAAGCTACTATTCTTTGCTTATTTATAGTTGTTTGTCTGCAACTTCTGCTACTGCGACATATGCTGGTGTTTGGGCCCTCACTCAGTATAGCTGTTGGCATTGATGCAATATGTTTTCCTGAAGCTAGTGGCTGTTGTGGCAGCTGCTGAAATTTGGAAGATAGAGGATTTTAGTAGGCAAATTGAGAAGGCCTAGCAACACTGAAAGCAGATTTGAAAGTTGTATTGCATTTGAATTACTCTGATACTCAAGTCAACTGCTTTAAAGCACAACTACAGCCAAAATTGATTGCAGTATATTGCCTTGCAGATGGGAAGTAGATCACAGGAAATAAGTTCCTGATTTAAAGCAATTATGTCATGTAGATTTTTCTGCCAAAAGGAATCTTTCTGTACTGGTGATTGTAAGGTTATTTTACTTAATGGTGCTATAGTGTCATTGGCCCATGTGAGAGAATAAATAGATTTTGTTTTAATTAAAAGAAAGAAAACTGTGGCTTCCTGACTTCGCTAGTTAGTAGGTGTTCTTGAGGAGACCGGTAAGAATACTTAGGACAGAGGTGCTTGTGCGTGCCTTCCTGCTTATGCACGTGAATTTTCTCATCTATGCCAAAAGGTTTGGAGATCATCAAATAACAGGCAAAACTTAAGGTGAATTGGAGTAGTTGAGTCAGGTTAGAGAAACCTATTTGCTACACACTGATTTAAAAAACGACCTACAGTTAGGAGCAACAGAGTAGCAATATAAGAGTATAACTATTTAAGATAGTTATATTTGGATAGTGTAGTCCAAATATGTATTAACTTAGCGCTGTATCTCGAGACCTCATATTTTACCTGTACCTGCCTGTCTTTTACCATTCTGATTCTGAATACTTTAATGTAGTGTCTTTTTCTTGTCCTGAAACTGTTGTTGCTGTTAATTCATATCCATCTTGGCATTGTACCAGCCAGGCAAGCCAATGAAAGAAATTGGTTTGTTTCATGTGTTCAGGTAATTCAAGATCCACCAAGTGCAGTGGGAAGCTTCTGCAGAGTAATTATGTTGGAATGGTTTCCTTGGTCTGTGACCAGCTTTCTGCATCCCCTGGTAATTTGATGCTGATGGCCTTTTTCCCAGAAGTGTCTGTATGCTGTGTTCTCTTTGTTATTGGCCTCCAAACTCAAAGTCAAAGTACTTGGACTGTCAAGTATTGAGCACATCAGTGGGCAATCCCATTCCCCTCTTTGAAAAGAAAACACAGCAATTATCAAACCTTGGTAAAATTCACCAGGAGAATCAGGTGACTGTGCAATGTTGAACACTTAGTTTAACTTTTTCTTAAAAGAAGGTTAATGAATTTTAAGTGCTTATTGTACAGCGTGCCTTTTATGGATTGTGTTATCTTTAAATTGTCCTTTCTGGTGGCAACTTCTCAAGTGGCTTTTTACAGTCATGTTACAAAAAATGCTGCACTTGATCAGCTTGCGTGAAAACTCAGGTTAGCTCTCCTCAGTGTGAAGGATCAGTGATCTTGCACTCAAGCTTCAGTGCTGCTTGACCTGAAGATGTTTGGTCTTGTAATAAAAAGCTTGAAAGCTTGTCGAGTGTTTACAGGGATGTTGTGAACTTCTCTTGCAAAGGTGTGAAGCGTGCTGTGAGACAGGAAGTGTCCTAGAGATTCTTGAAGTGATGACACTCTCCTGCATGTATGTAGACTAAGTAATTCTGAAGCTATTGAGCCAAGTCTTTATTTGAATCCATATTACGTAACTTTAGTGTACTAAATAAACTGTTTATTCCTGATAACTGTTGTGGGATTTTAATATACTGAAGCTTATTGTCTCAGAACCGCTTGTTAGATGGTATTTTCTTTCAAGGTCAGTCGATGTAGCAAAGGTGGCCTGTAGAACCTTAAAGCCTGATGTAACATTTTCAGATGGCTCAGTCAATCTATACACTTGAAGTGGGATGTGAGTGAAATCTCTTAGGCTTGGGTGTTTCTCTGTAGTTATATCTAAGGTGGCAAATATCTCTTGGCTCTAGGGAAGAGGTGTAGAACAGCATGAAACTAATGGGCATGTTACCAGCAATCTTCATGAGAGCTCAATTTCAAATGCAGGAGGTAAACCTGGAGAAGACAAATATAGGTGATTATGCTGACTTTGATTGCCAGAGCTAACCTCAGTGAAAATGACCAGCTTATTGCCTTTCAAGGTAAAATAGTAGTTTCTTGCACTAAAGTGGTGTCTTATCAGTGTTAAGAGTTCTCTAAGTGTTATGGACTAAAGCATATGATGTCAGGGCATCTATATTGAACTGCAAAGAACCAGGCATACCTGGTATGTATGCTTTCCTAAGAAGCACGGCTTGCCAAAAACTAAGACTTAATAATGTAGTTTCCACTTAGATGCCTCAGTATGCCAATTGTAGGTGAAATATCGTTAATATCTGAAGGATATTCATTGGCATTTAAACACGTCAGGTACATTTTTGGGACAGACATAGTTTCATTTGCAAGATGCAGATCCCACTTAGTGTCATTGTGGATGCTTTATAATCAGAATAATCTACTTAATATGGCTCTTACACCAACCAGCACTGTTGACATGTTAAGGTATTTCAGAATACAGTGCTCCAGGGAGCTACTTTGATGGCTAAATGGTAAATCTAACTGAAACAAGCAGAGGAGTTATGTGAACGCTGCACAAATCTTCTGAAAAGATGACTCAGTCCAATGTGGATGATTTCTTAGAAGTTTTGTGTTAGCTCACTGTACTGTTAGTGTACCAGAGGTACTGTTGGCTGGCTACTTATAACACTATACACTCTGGCAGCATGTGCCTTACAGATCCTTCTTCAAACTAAGTTCTTATGTTTTTTCCCCCTTCATTTTCTTCTCACAGTAGGAATGCTTTTGCTAATAGCCTTGCCACATGTTGAGGACACTTAATCCATTTGATTCATTTTGTTGTTCTGAGATTTATCAAAGCCCTGGGCTGCAAAGTTCGTGTCACTACGAGTGAAGAGAGATGCTTTTAACATAATTTTTTTCCAGAACAGATCTATATGGTCCTGAATTCAGTTTTGTATTTCAGACTTCAATAGTTAATTTACAGTCATAGTAGAATGCTTTTCAGCTCAAATTTGTCAGCTTCAGTTGCCAGAGGTTACATTGTACTTTAGTCTCATGGGTAAGGCAGGTTGCTAGTAGATCAGTATGTAAGTCTTGAAGATTTGTGAAATGAAAGGAAACCATTCTCAAGACTAGGCATAATTTTCAGCATTGGAATTTTGTGCACCACATTCTTGCGGCAAGAGGGATTCAATTTTATTTCACAATTGTCTTTGTGAACATAAGGGTACAGTATTGGTAGCCAAAGCCACAGTTAGCTTAATAGCAGGTTTAGGATTTTTGTTCATTATATGCAGCTTCGTTTATGTTGAATTGTAATAGCAAGCTGAAAAGGTAGTACTAGGTGAAATAAACCTGAAAGTGACTTTCTGGGTTTTCAAAGGCTTTTCCAAGCCTGATACATGGATCTCTTTACTGCAGTGAATAGATGAAGTCTAGGTTTTGTGAGAATCAGCACTACCTAACTTGGTGGCACTGTGCATTCATCTCCTGTCTTTGCCAGCCCAATTGATTTGGCTTATGTTGGAAAGATAAGGTTTGTCACAAATTAGTTACATCACTGAGGATTAAGGCATGACTTTTTTTCTGTAAAATGGATGGACAAGGACCTATCTTGGATGCAGTTCCAGAGGATATAGTATGGGGAGTGGCCTGCTTCATTAGATTTTTAGTCATAATTCTGGGCTCATTTAAGAAATGGGAAGGGGTGCAGGGTCATCTTCGGTAAGTGCTAGTTACTTTTTGGTATGCCTGTGAGACAATATGTGTTTTCTAAGATTCTCTCTTTGAATAATTCAAAGCTTTCTATGTGTCAGAAATTTACCTGATTTACCTGAAACGTAGGTAGGAGATGTGTTGTTGTATCATCAGTCAGGTTTTAATATAGAAATTGAGTAGCATAAGTTTATAAAATCTACATTTTAGATTAGCCAGATTTTGTCACAAATTTATTTCCTATAGTGACTTCAGTGTTTGGAGTAGACTCTTTTAATAGATCCACCTTGTGTTCAGCACTTCCAAGCTAATTCTTTTTTTTGCCACTCTTTAGTTTGCCTTGGTTGTAAGAGATAGGTGCATTTTTATGTTTAACAGAGGGCTTTTTTTTTCCTCACTTAGTCCAGAACTCTCAACTTGTTAGATATGTCTGTCCAAGAGGATGGGAAAAATTCAGTACTTCAAGGAGAAATCCCTCAGAAGAGTCTTTCTGTAGTGCAAAATTTATTCTCAAAAACATTTCCCTACAGTGAAAGCATATCAACACTGAATTTTCTTTTTGTATGTGAGGGTGATGGTTCTGCATTTTTGAGAGGTTGGAATAGAAATTAACAAAATCAAATCATATTGTGGACTAAGCATGTATTATAGGAAATCTTAGACTGGCTTTACTACAGTTGAGAGGGCAGGAAAACCTTGTCTTTCAAAAGAAACCTCTTTTTAAAATCAAAGTGTACATACTGAGACTATGTAGTGGTAATGATATTCTGCTGTTAACCAAGGATAGAAGTGTTACAATAAGAGTTATAGACTTGTAGACTACTGAAGATTAGATGAAGTATGATTGTAAATGAAAACACCCAGGTAGGAACACTTAAAAAACATGGAATAGATTTTCAAAAGCAACTTGTAAATGGCAAGCTTGTAATCTATTGCACATTAATAATGGAAAGGAGGTAGAATACTTAAGATGCTTGGAGAAGGGATACACCAAGGAGCCTGACAGTGGTTTTTTAATGTTTTCTTGATTTTACAGCTGCGAGCATGTGAGTGTTTTAACAATTAGGAGATGAGGGAGGAAAGTATCACAGTGATAACAAGGAGACTGACTAGGGGTTGACTGTTCAGTTTGCTCAAATGCGAGAATGAGAAGTGGGTATGTAAGACTGATGAAATTCAGACTGAAAAGGAGGAGGTTCTTCACAGGAATGAATGATTGTGGATCTGTGAAGTGACTTGTGAGAGGACTTAATGAGTGTAAGAAATTTATGCAGGCTCAGAGGAAAGCTGAAGAAATCCATGAGGGCTACCTAACAGACAAATCTCATAAGGCTCAGGAAAACACCTGAAAATAGTTGGGGTCTGAAGGACACTTTGGAATATCTGGGGTTTTTCCTATTTGTTTTCAAAGATGGTGCTAAAGGGAAGTTTTCATACTATGAAGGAAGAGGAATTCGAACAAAGAGAACAGAAGGGAGAGAAAACCCAATGGGTGACTGGAGTCTTTTCACATGAAAATGTTGTAAATGTGAAATGGTTGTAAGCACTAATGAAAACAGAAAAAAACATCTTTTATTTCAGAGTGGGGGAGGTCCGGAGGTGGGTGTTTGTATTTGGTATAAATGTGGATAAGTAGATATTAGTTAAAGGAAGTAAAATTTCTAATTATTCTTTATTATTCTTTTTATTAGCAAAACCAAATAGGAAGCTGACATTCCTGTACTTGGCCAATGATGTCATACAGAACAGCAAAAGAAAAGGACCAGAATTTACAAAAGACTTTGCTCCAGTAATAGTGGAGGCTTTTAAGCATGTTTCAAGGTACAGTAAACTTGTATGTGCAGTGTCCTTCTTCATACTGTATTTGAGGGGGATTGAGAGAAGTCCTCAGTTCGTCTCTTCTGGCCCAGCTAGTCTTTGTGTGCTATTTCTCTACTTGAGGTCTTGTTAATTTAATTTATTCAGTGTTCTTTTGATCTTGGAGAGTCTTAATGCTGTTGGATGAAGTTTCATAGTAAATTCGTCAGCATTCAGTCCGTTCTGCTTTGGAAAGCCGTCAGCTGTTCCTGAAACTAAGACTTGCTTTCAGTCTGTGTATATGTGCTGCAACAGTTTGATATTTTTCATTACTGGTGTTTCATGATTTGTTTTTCCCCAGCAGCCATTAATCTCATCGCATGAGGAAGCTAGAGTCTTGATGCAGGATTATTTTCACAATGATACACAGCTGTTTAAGCACCACAAACCTATTTGCAGTGTTTGCATAATAGGGTTACAGACCTACAGATTTATGGGTTGAGCAAGCAAACAGAGAGTTGGGCATTGGCCCTTTTTTATTTATGTACTTGCTAAGACACCATGAACTGGCATTTGCTTTTTTTTCTTTAAAATGTGGTTTTGTTATTTTCTGAGATTATTTGACTTCTGATGCTTGGATATTGCTAAGGTATGTGAAGGTTCTTCTGTGAAAAATAATCATATAGCAGCACTGTACTTCTACCTAGTGCTGATACTTGCTTTTTTCCCCTGTAACAGTGAGTCTGATGAGAGTTGTAAGAAACACCTTGGCCGAGTGCTGTCTATCTGGGAAGAAAGGTCTGTTTATGAAAATGATGTATTAGAACAACTTAGGCAAGCTTTGTGTAAGTATTTTGTGTGTGTATCAAGGTTCAGTCTCTTTTTTGAAATACTATTTCCCTAACTCCTCTGTTTGTTTTCATTTAGATGGAGACAGAAAGGGGAAGAAGCGCACGTATGAACAGATAAAAGTTGATGAAAATAACTGTTCACCTCGAAGTTCTCCCACTGACCCTCCTCAGGTAAAAACATGTTTATAAAATTCTGTATTTACATATGGTTTTGTGCAAAATTTTTCAGTTACTCCTATTTTTGAATGATCTCTGTTTTTTTTTTAATGAGGTACTGTTTCTGTGCAAGAGTGACTACACCTAAAACTTTTCACAGTATTTCAGGTTACAAGTATGTTGTAACTTCAGTCATTTGACACTAAACCTGAATGTATTAACTGTATGTCCAGCTTTGCTCACATCAGGATTTCAGCATTAGTTTCTACAGTGTTTTAGGTTCTCATTCAGTTTCCAGGGTAGTAATGAGTAACCCATGTATTAGAGTAAGATTGTTATGGATTTATCAGTAAAATATTTCTCAGTGTTGCAATCATGATGATTGGGAAAAATTGTCTACCTTGCACTGTTATAGCTTTCCTAATTCTTGTGTTTTTTTTATTATGGTATTACCCTATCTCAAAAGGCTTTTTGTTATGGCCAGGAATGACTGTCCTCAAATAATCACAATTTAGTATGTTTCTCTGTAACAGACGTTTGGTTCTACTTTCAAAAGAAGCGCGCTGATCTAGTCTGATGCAGTAGTGAAGCAAAATGACACGAAAAATAATGTTAAAAATCTGTAGTAAAATTAAAGTAAAAAGAAAATATTCACTGTCAAGAATAAAAGATGTATAAGTAATCCTTATATACCAAGAATTTAAATGAAAAAAATCTGTTAGAGGAAGGTGACCTTTAAAACTGGGAATGCTGCAATATTGTCCTGAGAATGAAAGGTTTGGTTTTGTTTTCAATCTAAAAGCTGATGCTGTAAATGCTCTTGAAATTGCCATCAAATCAATTCCAAAAGCTTATTGTAAGATACTGTTTTGTTCTAGGATCTGTTTACTTAAAGTAGTTCTCCATCTTGCATGCTTTTTTCAGACCACAGATCTCATTAGAGCGTTACAAGAACTAGAAAATGCTGCCTCTGGGGATGCAGCAGTTCATCAGAGAATAGCCTCACTGCCTATAGAGGTCCAAGATGTGTCCCTGTTAGACAGAATAACAGGTGAGGGTTGGGGACCCAGTAACCGAAATGCTGTTCTGAGAACTTAATGGTGTGTGATGAAATCACTCTTTACTTGTTTTTCTCTGCTTGATTTTTAGATAAGGAATCTGGAGAGCAACTTTCCAAAATGGTAGATGATGCATGTATGTTGCTGGCGGATTACAATGGCAGGTTGGCAGCTGAAATAGATGATAGAAAACAGCTGACTCGAATGTTATCAGACTTTCTCCGATGTCAAAAAGAATTCCTTGCAGAGAAAGAACATAAGCTGGAAGTGCGTAATGTTTTGTTTTAGTCCATTCTTCACTAAAGCTTGTTCTTGCAAATGTTTTTAGTTGGCCTAAAAAACTGTTATCTCCAAAGATAAATATTTAATTGCCACTCTTATGTCTTTGCTTCCAGCACATTATTAACATTTTGTTTGATTCCAGTGTTCTAAATCTGTTAAACCAGCTCTTTGGTTTTTTAGCTTTTCAGTCTTTGTTATATGTACAGACTTAATTTTAGTAGTGCAGATAAAAACTCTTACCCTGAGTGTTACAAACGTAATTCCTCACAATTTTTTTTCATGCTCCTTTCATTCATTGTTGTAAGTCTTAGTTATGTATTTGCTAAAGGTTAAGAATTTAATCATTGGTTTCAGCACAACTTTTTAACCAGACTCAAGCATCCATTAAACCTAGTAAAATGTAGTTTTAGCATCTACAGCCTCTAATGCAGCTGGTTAGCAGCACTAGCACCATTAGGGCCAGACAGATCATAATAAAAGAAGGATGCATAGTCAGCAGCTCATTATGAGCGTGATCCCCTAAGTTATTCTGTTCTTTGCTATTCCCAGTTATCTGTTTTCCTTTCCTACCATGTGATACTGTAAAGCCTCCTGTTGAACATCCCACATATTTAGAATTTAATTGACATAATTTTATGTCAGTTGCTTACCAGGGCTAACTTGAGTACTACAGTAATAGAACTGAAGCTGTGTCATTTTTCAAGAGGAGATATCTAAACAATTGCAGTGCCCTGTAACTGTAGCATATGCATATGTGGTGCCCAAATTAATTACTCTTGAGGTTTCATCATACAGACCTGTCAGGAACATTTTCTTTGCTTAATGGGTTTTTTTTACCTTTTTATCACTTGAGTTCAGATTTTTTGTTGCCTTCGTTCAGGAAAATGCTGTTCACAATGTATTTTAAGTCATCATTCAGGTCAGTTATTTCCTGACTTACTTACTTTCCTCTGTGCCTCACAGAAAAGCAATTGATGAAGGTTCTTCCTGTCAACTTTACTGTGTGTGTTTATCCTGTTGGAAGAATATCAACCAACTTCATGTAAGATAGGTGGTATCACAGTAGTTCTGATTGCAATAGCAACTGACCCAACTGGATAATGGAACCTGGAAGATTAAAGAACAGGAAGCCTTAAGCTTTTCATCACATGCCCTACCTCCCCTCTGTAGTGGGTTTGAAGGACAAATTCCCAATTTCAGTGAAGGACTGATTGTCTAGAGACACTGACTTGTTTTTGTAGCTCACTACCAGCAATTATTCCCTGTTTAGGTATAGTAGACCACTGGGATAGTGAGTTGCTCAAAAGGCAGTGACTTGGTGTTTCAGACAGATTTATAATTCTGTGAAAACAAGAGAACTCAATTAAAAAGAAATCACAAATGGTAGTGCAGCTGTGAACAGGTTCTGCCCTTGTTGGTTGTTTTCATCAAATATAAACCAGTTTAATTTCCCAGTGTTACTAGATCAGAGAATTTGTAATTGTAAGAGACAGCAGTTGCGTATTACTGGGCTGTCATAGTCCTTAAAACCAGGTTTCTTGACTGAATTATTTAAACTGCTAAAGAATTGCATTCTAATACAACACAGTTCCTTTTTGGACTAGTTTGAGGTCTTTCTTTAAAAAGTGGGAGACAGTCTTCAGTAGCTGTAGCAGTCTGTTTTAAACAGATGAAGTCCTAGGATGTTGAAGGACACTGTAAGAATGTTTTTAGGCTGATCAGTGTGGTATACGTGTGAATTACTAATAAAGAACTGTGAGCCGAGATGGTGTCAACCCAGGTTACTAATAAAGGCCAATGAGCCAAGAGATTGTTAAGAACAACAACCTTACAATGAAGTTTCTAAGCTAGTGTTAAGATAAATGAAGTGACCTCATGCTCACTACAATTAGTGCTTTTTGGTTTGAGAAGTGGAGGCTGATAAACATTCTGATGTTTTGAAATGTAAGATCAGGATGTTTTCATGATACTGTCTGCAGAGCCTGCTGACTTAGCTGGTGTGTTTTGTTTTTAGTTACTAAGAAATGGAGATGAAGCAAGGACTCTGTCTTTACAGTCTTGGGAAATTCCATACCTTAAATTGAGCCTTGCTTCTTGGCTTCACATTTGAAATAGCAGTGGGAAAGGGGCCTGTCACCTAATTCGTTGAGAATGTATTTTCCTGAACTGTGTTCCTAGGTTTTAATGCTCGAGCGTGATTTCTGGTGAAATTAATTTGTTCTAGACAAGATTGTTTCTTTTGTTAGACTTCTGACTATTGACATTTTTCTTAGTATAACATGGTCTCTGGGTCGTAACATATCAAGTCTTCATTTCTTCCTGAATTAGTATCACCAATCTGTGAGTATAATGCTGAGACCCTAGCTTACTGATTTGTTAAACACCCAGGTATGGCAAGAAACAAGTGGATGTATTCTTGGTTGAATCTAGAAATGTTACTTGCTGTTGACCTGGTTTAACAGTGATAGAATTTGAATTTCCAGAGAATTCTCATTAGCTTTCAACTTTAGATGGGACCATTAGACCTAAATTTGCAGATCTTTTATCTTCTAAAGACAATTTACAGGTAAGTAATTTTGAATAACCAATCTTTCTATGAGTAGTTTTTTTAAGAATGAGAGTTTCTCTAACTGTTATTTCTGAAACAGAAGTGCATGATTCCCATCAAAATCAAGGTAATGTATGCATTAAATCTTGAAAGGAGACTTTGGTAACAAATAAGTAATACCATGTCTGCATCAAAAGCTAACAGTACTGCTTAGGTGACTTTCCTAAGTATGTTTATGGTAAGTAGTGTCATTTTTAACTCTTAAATTGTTTTCTTTAACATCTTTCTAGCTTCTGTTGCAGGTGGTGGACATGGACCTATCTTCTAATGATGTCACCATCCATTAGTACACACATCCTGCTAAAAATAAATTTAAGAATCAAAATCTTGTATTGTCTGTTGTTTTTGAAAACTTGAAAAGGAGGATTTCTGTAACTACTTATACCAAACCTCTGCTATTTTCATCTATATTCTCACAAACATTACTGAGTTTATGCCTGAGATGGATAAATATTTATCCAGTGTCATTCCTTTTTCTTGAAGACTAAATCTTTCACGTGATTGTTCCTAAAACTCCCAGGTCCTTTTGATAAAATCATTCGAAACTTGCAATGGAGAAGTTTGGGGGTCACTTGCAATGAAGCTGCCATTACCAAAAGGAGAGAACTGTGAAAACAAGACTTTTTCAGACTTTCACTTACACTCTAGCTATTTGGTTTACATGATCAGAAATGAGAAGTGATGAATGTAGGGCTTGTCCTTCACAAGCACAATAAAAACTTTATTAGGTAGCAGAGAATGTGTGTTCTATAATTGCACTTATGCCCCTTTGGAACCCCCCTCAAATTTCAGATCATCCTAAAGAGTATTTTCACTTTTGTAAGTTTTAGATTAGTATAAATATTTAAGGTTCAGAGTACTGTAGCTCTGTCTAGGATTTGTAGCTAGAGATGATTCTGTCGATTATAGAAAATGGAAATTTTTGCAGAAATAATTTTGTGGAACTATTTCTTTATGTAAATTTTGAGTGCTAATACCATTTCAAGTTTTTTGCTGTTTGGGTTGACTGTTCCCACTTTGCTTCCTTTTTGTATACTCGTCCTAACTCCCTGCCCATCCCCTACTTTTTGAACAGAATTGTTGGTTGGTCTCTTGGTCTCACTGAAGGCTGATAAGAAGAGCTTTTGATGTTATACAGGAACAGAGAATTGGGTATACATAAATTGATACCCATGTGTGTTCATGTCCTTTTGATAAGACTGTCCTGTAGATGTTCTGAGGTTAACATGGCCTTAAAAATGAAATGAACAAGAGAAGTATTTGATTTACTGTTCTCTCATGTTGCTTTGCTTTTGCCTCTTCCACAGATTGATTACAGGGTAAATAGTCTCTTACTACATTTCAAATAAAGGATCTGATAGTCTGAAATCTTACATGACTTATTAACAAGTGTGAGTAGGGGATCATGCAACCTTTTTCTACAAAAACAAGACAGCCTCTCACATTAATTTTGACATTACGGAAAAATGAAGCATTGCTACACTTAGTGTATACTGGATGACCCAGTTTCTCACATAGTGTTTCTGTCAACTTACCACTTAAAATTGGGGAATATCTTGTCACTAGATCCAAATTTTTATGAGGAAATACTACTCTGGGAAGTAAAACACTACTGTGTTTTAGCAGCTTGCATTTCATTGACACTTTTATTGATGATGTCACTGTCTTGCATTCCTGATTTTCTACAGCGGTATAAACAATATTCATATTCTTACACTCACACATCTGGTTATAATTGTGGTTTCTTGGCATGTTGAGAGAATACTATATGTTCAATACACTTTTATTATATGATTGAGCGTTATGGCTCAGTATAGTTTGACTTGTCTTCCTGAAGGTTTTGTCATAGATTTTTAAAGGTAAACAGCAAAAAGTTACTCACCCTTGTCTGTAGCTCTGGACTCAAAGGCCTTTTTTTTGTTCCTGCCTGATTCACAATTAATGGTACCAAATGTAGGCAAAAACGTTAAGTAAACAGTTCAGGGATGGCAGTGGTATAACAGGCCTCTTGTCCTTAGGTTTTGTTTTGCAATACCAAGCTTGCTTGGCCCTGGCAGATGAACCTTAGGATTAAAGGGTGGGCTCAGTTCAGCACATGCTGTGTCTCACCTAAAAAATCCATTGCGCCGGCTGGAAAGGTAAAAGACCTTTCCCAAAAATCTTCGTTCGCGAAGACTGGCCATTGTTGTTACAAGACTGGATTGGTACTATTGTCTGCTGTTGCCCTCCAGCATGGCCTTAATGTAATCACAGGGTGTAGTGCTTTCCTTACTATTTTTTCTCTTTTTACCGCTTGTACTTCACTAGAACCTTTGTATGTCAGCTTTTTTCGTTCAGTGACAGATTACTTAGGGTAATATGTTCCATCATGCTTTGT